AGTCTGTATTTCTCATTTTTTTTATTCTTTTGCGTAAAACTAAAATTCATGCCAATATTTTTCCATGATTTATAATAATTGGAGTAATGCAAATGCATATTTTCTAAAAAAAGTCATTTTTAGTGAAATTTTGCCGGGAATGGGGCTTTAAGCAATTTCAGCCTCAGTGTTCTTATAAAATGTGTTCTTATGAAAAAAAAAAGTGTATAACAAGAGTTCAGAAAATCAGAAAAAAATAATCACTTGAACATCATTGAGTACAATAGAGGGAAATGGCGAACCGAGATGACGTCACTGAAATATGGCGAGTTGGGTATGGAATATAAACAAATTGAAACTTGCTATGTGGTGTGTTGAAAAGGGTAAATAAACGAACGTTTTAAACACATTTAAAACAGTAGCACAGCATTTTTTACAATGCCCTGTAACATTTTATATTGTATAGGCAGATTTGAACACATTTTAGTTAAATTTGTATTTAATTAAAACCATAAATTGGTGCATTTGTGTCACCTACCAGCCAACCAAGTGGTAGGCCAGGCCTACCTAGAAAGTCCACGCAAAATGATCCCAGGCACGTTTGTGTCTGTACTTACCCACTGCTTCGTTGGTAACTGGATAATTAGTGTTCGTTTTTTTTTTTGGACCCAAGTATAGTCCATTATTATGGTATTATAATAGGTTTACAGTTACATTTTACAGTAGTATTTATAACAAAGTGTAATTTTCTAGCTCGACTACTGTAGGCCCCTACTGTACTGTTTGGCCTACTGGTTGTAGGGGTATTCGGTTGTAGCCTACTGGTTGTAGCCTACTGGTTGTAGGGGTATTCGGTTGTAGCCTACTGGTTGTAGGGGTATTCGGTTGTAGCCTACTGGTTGTAGCCTACTGGTTGTAGGGGTATTCGGTTGTAGCCTACTGGTTGTAGGGGTATTCGGTTGTAGCCTACTGGTTGTAGCCTACTGTAGACTAGACGTGGCAGCTTGGGGAGTAGTACTAAAGTGCGAGGCAGCGAGGCATGCGAGGCAGCAAGGCAAAACGACGATTCATGCGAGGCATCGTTTTGCCATTGCCAAAAGTGCGTGGTATAACAACGATTCATGCGAGGCATTGTTTTACATCGAAAGATGTGCAGAGAACAATGAAAATCCAATGTAAACGTAATATTACATACTATTTAATAATTATGCGTGATAGTCATTGTCAAATTGCTACTTAATTTGATTTGCTACCACAGTGGATTTATTTTTCTCTGCCTAGGCCTAGGCTATATAGTCAGTAACATCGCTGATCACAGGGGCGGATCCAGGATCTGCTGCATTATTTTTTATTCCCATACAATTAGGCAGAAATTATAGAGGGCGCTATTAATGTCAGTTTAGTGATCGTATTATCGTAGTAGAGAAATAATTACAGCAAGCAAGACCTAAATTAATAATTACCAATTAAATGAAAGTTTTGTTGGCCTACTGAAAAATACAATATAATGTAGCTATTCATGCCTCGTGCATCCCTCGTAGCGCAAATCAATAGGCCTACTACTACTATTGCACAACAAAGTATGATATTTGGTTTTTTAGCATCCAGTATTCTTGTACATAAATCTTCAATTTCCAACGTACGCTTATAATAGCAACTCGGACGTTGTTACCGGTGGTCTTTACAAACACCGAACTTAGGTCATGTTTATGCATATTCATATTTAACAGCTCACTAAACTGACCTTAAATAGCGCCCTCTATAATTTCTGCCCTAATTGTATGGGAATGCAGCAGATCCTGGATCCCCCCTGTGATCAGCGATGTTACTGACTATATAGTATATAGCCTAAGCCTAGACGGAGAAAAATAAATCCACTGTGGTTGCAAATCAAATTAAGTAGCAAATTTGACAATGACTATCACGCATAATTATTAAATAGTATGTAATATTACTTTTACATTGGATTTTCGTTGTTCTCTGCACATATTTCGATGTAAAACGATGGCTCGCATGAATCGTTGTTATGCCTCGCACTTTTGGGAATGGTAAAACGACGCCTCGCATGAATCGTCGTTTTGCCTCGCTGCCTCGCACTTTAGTACTACCCAACCTTGGGCTGGTCTAACAATAATTAATACTGTAGTTGATTTTGGTAAAAAGTCTATTTTACTTTTACACAACTTTGTTAAAGTTTTATTTTTCATCCGTCACCATAGGCGTGTCGGCAATCACCCCACCGTTAGTACGTAAAAGTCCACGATTTCCCATCCGTCTCTTTTACTCCTTAGATATCCAATCGCTCATAGTGAGCGGATTAAATTTTGGAATATCTACTAGTGATTTTTTAAAGTTCCGTTCGAAATTACAATACAGCAAGAATCATGGGTATCACAACAAAAACATTGAGAAGCGGCCATGATTGCTATGTATAAAGATAGGAAATTAGCGCCCTCAACGGTTTATTATGATTTTATACCCAATACGATTGTCGACGTCTGTTCACCATTTCCCTGTATTGGCGATGTCTTATATTTTGTCTGCTGCCCTTTATATATACAAAATGGAGATAAACATGTGATGTGTATCAACATGTGTAAATAAGAAGTCTAGTATGACAGTATGGCATTCAGTTAATCAGCTCTCTGCCTGTCTGTAAGCTGCTGTATTTATGCAAAATTCCATAAGAGATAATCAATGACATAATCCCAGTCTGCCGCCCTTTACAGTCAACAACAAACCATGTGCATGTGTGTCTTGTGTATAGAAATCCCCATGTTTAGTCAAGCATTGAATAACAAACACTGCCTGTGAACAGCCGGTTTCTGTGGTCATGGAGGCCTACATGCTAAGCTCAGCCAATCAAAGGTATTGTTTTTCATGGGATCGTAACCATACCGGACAAAGTGTGTTCTTTAAATTTTTTGCAGTTCACTTTTAAAAAAAAATCACCTAGTACAATCTTTAATACATTTAAACAGTATTGTTTTGTATTAAATGGAATCTGAGTGTATCTTGCTTGCTAATTGGTGACTGCTAAGTAAATTGATCTGCCTGACATACAGTAGGTTTTAAATCTATTTTTTAATGTACTATACTCTTCACATAATGTTTTGGTCCATTATGGAGTAGTTGCCAGGTTGCTTCTCCAAATCTTTGTCGACCCATTCACACTGTGTGATCTTACAATATAAATAATTGGGCGGTGTTGTTCTGGTTTCATTTGGCAATATTATGCAACAATGCATAGACGGAGGCATGGTTTGAACTTTGGGTGGGCCTGGTAAGCACTTGGCATATGAAGCAAAGGTTCCCAGGTTGGTTCCAGGGGCCAAATTCCGTTGGAAAAATTAGGGTTTTTTAAAAAATTTTTGAAGACTAATTTGTAGGTTTTTTTTATAATGTAATCTTTAATACCTTCTGACCAAAATAGCCAACTGCAACTAAAGCAGCCAATTGGTGATTTATTTCTAGCCTGCTAGAATATTTCAGGAACCTGGCCACCTGACCCCCACAAACCTTTGTTCTTTCCCTTGATTCTACTAGGGCACCTATCCTCTAGCTACTTACTCTCCACCCTTTTTTGCTTCTTGGTAACCTTTTGTTTAAATGGTGTTTTCATATTGTTATTTTAATTTTATATTTTCCTTATATTTTGTTACTTTACATGGCCTTGCACGGCCTTGACGAAAAACACCCTTGGGTGAATCAAGTGTATCCGTGTAAAAAAAAAGTATATTATTATTATTATTATTATTATTATTTTTTTTTTTTTTTTTTTTTGATTGCTTTTATCATACATAAAACAACATAATATAATATATAATATATATTATTATTATTATAGGAACCCCCACCCCCCTCTTATGGATTCCTTTTACAGGATGACAAGACACCAAGTACTGAAAGTGTAACATGCACTTGAAACATCTGACTAGATGGGGCCTTACTTGGTATAGTGTCATTAAAAAAAAGTAGCATTTGAATTTAAAAGTTGTTGAAATTAAAAACATTTTAAATTTTGCATTTTGTTTTTTTCCACACATCTAAGGTGTTATAAATTCTAAATTAACCTCAACCATGGTGGGACTGAGATGATTGTGGAAAAAAGTGGAAGCTCCCCTTTAAGAAATCATAATAATAATAATACTATAATAATAATACTATAATAATAATAACTAATTCATGTATATATGACAAATGATTCTATTGAGTATTGAGCATTGGAACTAGATTTGAACTCGTCACTGAGGACGAGTTTGGTGATCCGCCGTACTTTGACAATCAAGAAGCGCGCGCGGTGCTGATTGAAAAGTTTTATAATATTCTAAAATATGCTGTAATTAGTTATTTAAAAAAGAATAATTTTGAACATTTTAAAAGATTTACACATGCGGACGCGCATGCCTTGACGCCGGTGAGCACGGTAATGGTACAAAGAGTTGACTCTTGATATGAATAAAGTGTCAGGAACCCAAAATATGTAACAAAACGTAATTTCCAGCTTCATTACGTGCTGTGCGCGTTAAAGTGAAGATGCAGCGCATAAATTTATGAAAGTTTTGGAATGCTAAAAATGACCTGAAACGTTCTTTAAATTATTTGAACAGTGATATTGAGAATTTTCAAATTTTAACGCACGCGCACGTCACGATGTGTGCGTGGACGGTAACGGCACACGAAATTAAATATTGTCTGTGTTTTTAAAACCGCCTGTTAATTGGTAATGCCACATGAATTTACCCTTCATATAACCTATATATCAGTCTGATAGCGTCGAAATATAGTCTGTCTCCCTCTGTTGTGGTATTTTAAGAAAGAGAGATAAAAGGGCTCCAAAAATTCATTTTTTTTTTACCATGATCACATGATCAAAATGAAAAATATAGGGACGCTTTCAAAAGAGATTTGTCTCAGCTATAACATACTCACAGGTGGGAGACGATCGAACAAGAATAAGCGAGATACATTCAAATCAGTTTGAAAATAAAGACCTTATAAATAAAAATGCAGTTTTTTAAAATTTAAATGGCAATATGATGATATCACAATGTCCGATCAGCCATAATGATCTATAAAATCATATCTACAACTCATGTGCTTTCACAATATGTAATAAAATTGGGGGTCACCTTTCATCCTAATGAGCTATAACTGATTAAAAATAGGCATAATTTTAGCATACTATATACAAATGTTGACGCACACGTACGCGCACGCTAAGACACGCAAACGGAAAATTAAGGTACCTGATATTCAACCTTGACCTGAAGTATATGGCCATTAAATATGATTCAGAAATGAAGAATGGTTACGGTGATATGAACGATAATGTGAAACACGTAAAATTGCGCGTAGATGACGTCAGGCATGACTGTGCACATTGAACAGGTCACATTGACTATGCCAAGCCAAATGTTCGTTGAAGTGAGCATGTTTGTAGCTCACAACAATTTTTAGATAGCGTGCAAACAGGAAATGAGGAGAAAGAAAGAATAAAAAAATAAAGAAAAAAAAGATGATCCTGACAATAACAAGAGGGGATCCGCTCGTGAAGCGGATCACCAAAAAAATGATGATGATCCTGACATTAACAAGAAGTGATCCGCTCAAGAAGTGGATCACCAATAATAATAATATAATAATAATACTAATAATAATTAAAAATAATTATTTAATTTAATAAAGCGCCAATATCACTAAACCGAAGTAAAAGTCAAAGGCGCTGAGCATGTTCAGATGTTAAAAAGGTGGGTTTTGAGTTTGGTCTTAAATATAACAACTGAAGTTGAGTCGGTAATATGTTTTGGGAGGGAGTTCCAAAGTGTGGCAGCTGAAAATAAAAATGATCTGTGGCCGTAGGATTTGGTGTTAACTCTTGGAACAATGAGCAAATTAAGGTCAGAAGAACAGAGGGCGAGGATAAGGAGACATATTTAGGAAGGAGTTCAAGTAGGTAAGTGGGTTGTTGGAGTTGTGGTGCTTTAAAAGTTAGTAGCAGAATTTTATACTTTATTCGTGAATTAATTGGAAGTCAGTGCAAATTATAGATGATGGGAGATATGTGCGATCGTCTATTGGTAAGTGTTATAATACGTGCGGCAGTGTTCTGGAGGCGTTGTAACCTGTTTAACTGAGCTTTAGGTAGCGCAGAGAAAAGAGAGTTACAATAATCAGAGGCATTGATTAAAGTGGCAGAGTGTCCTTAGAGAGATAGTTCCTGATGTTAGCAATATTGCTGTAGGTGGAAATTAACTGTTTTTAGTGATATGACTAATGTGCTTAGTGCAGAATATAATGAATTCAGGTTTTGTATTGTTAAGCATGAGCATATTAGCAGATAACCAGGATCAAAATTTCAGACAGACATTTTTCCAGTCGTTGCGTTATTAAGAGGGATTCAGAGGGGTAAAAAAGTGAATGTAAATTTGTATGTCGTCAGCGTACAAATGGTAATGTAAGTTGTTTTTCTTGATAATTTCAGTTAGAGGAGATACTGTATATAAAGGGAGAAAAGCAGAGGTCCTAGATGGACCACTGGTGAATTCCACAGTTAAGGTTCTTTGGAGCAGATTTAATATTATTTATTTCCACGCACTGGGTACGACCAAGTAAATAAGAACGAAACCAATTAAGGGCGCAGCCTGATACTCCATAATGAAAGAAAAGACGATGTAAAAGAATGTTATGATCGACAGTGTCAAATGCAGACGATAGATCTAACATAACGAGAACCACAGCACGTTTATGATCAAGAGAACAGACAATATCATTATGTACTTTTGTAAGTGCAGTTTCGGTACTATGACGTACTCTATAAGCTGATTGATACGGATTTAAGAGCTGGAAATTGGAAAGATATAATGATAATTGATTAAATACTACTTTTTCAATAAGCTTAACAAGAAAAGGAAGGTTTGAAATAGGTCTAAAATTCTGGAGCAAGCCGGAGTCAAGAGAAAGCTTCTTCAAAATGGGTTTCACAATAGCGGTTTTGAATATCGATGGAACATTGCCAGACATGAGGGACTTATTAACTAAGAGATTAAGGGGCTTGATAATGGAAGAACAGCACAATTTAATGAGACGGGTGGGTATAAAATCTATATATATATATATATATATAAAAGTACAATCAACAGTATCAAAGGAGGAGAAAGAATGAGTGTACTTCAAGGGCGGATCTGTAGTTCAAGGTAGTCAGAGTACAAGGTGTTGTAGTGAGTTGGTTATGTATCTTTGTAATCTTTTCAAAAAAGTTCAGTCAGCTGAGACATATCATTATGAGGAGGGAAAGAAACAACAGGTGTACCTTTTAAAAGATTTTTTACAACATTAAACAGTTTCTTTTTGTCATTAGAGCATTCTTCAATTCTGTTTATAGTATAAGGTAGATGGCCTTAGCCTGCCTAAGTTTCCTGTTAAATAGTTTAAAATTTTTAACATTCACGTTTGTCATTTTCACATCTACTTAAATTCCATCGTCGTTCAAATAATAATAATAACAATAAAACAGCATTTATAATGCGCCGTCTATCTAGCGAACTATTCCGAGGTGCAGTGACTCTTGACGTTTTTATTTTATATTTTTATGTTTTTTGTTTAATCATACCTTCAAGCATACATATTGTATAGGATATATCACAAAGTCTTCATATTTTATCTCACCACAGAATATCTCGAAATGTCAGTGAGAAGAAGAGGCGAGACCAGTTCAATAGCCTCATCCAGGAGCTCTGCTCGATGGTGTCGACAAAGAGTAGAAAGATGGACAAGTCTACAGTTCTTAAGGCTACAATAAGCTTCCTGAAAACACACAATGGTTTGTTTAGTTTTCTTTACCATTCATCATGAACTCAAACTCTTTCTCTTGGGCAAGACTTTTTTTATGCCTTGTTTCACAAACCCATCGCCGGCCAATAATGATGATTTCCAATAAAAATATAAATTTTATTTTTGGCCTATTAGCACACCCGCAGTGACGAAAAAATTGGAAATTTCAGAAAAAGATAAAGTTTTTAAAATTTTTATTACGCCCGCCGCTGCCTTGAAATCTAAAAATATGGTGTGTATATTTCTACTCAATTTTATAAATTTAAAGCATTTAACTATCCCATAGTACATTGCTTACAATAACCAATACAATTTTCCTTTTATTTTCTCCTCTGCCTTGATTTTTTTAGCAAACGATTTGCTGAATAAAAGAACAAAATTTTATTTTTATTTTTTTTTCTGTTCTCCTTTAAGGATCTTTCAAAAAATAATTTTGTGAAACAAGGTATGAAAATAATGCCCGTATTCTTAAAACAAACTTTGGTCGAACTTCGAACTAGAACTTCATTTAGTGCTAGTTTCAACTCCAACCTCAATTTGTATTCACAAACAACGTAGTCGAAGTTTTAACTACGACTAATTCAAGTCCTTGTTTTAGTTCAACTGAAGACGACTGGCTAGCAACAACTATCAAACTAACCAATGAAAAGAGCTAATTTTAATAGCAGACGAAATTTTAGAGATCCGGTAATGCGGATGAATATTAAGCTGCTGTCTGTGGTTCAAAAACGTATTTCCTCATAATTCATAATAGATCATCATTGGCTTAATTAATTTTCTATAATAATAACTATATTAGTTGTTAACATATTATGATAGAGAATTTGAACAGTCACTGAAAATTTGCTTTCTTTGGAGAACTGTTATAGTTGAACCGAGTGAGGGCGGCGCCATCTTTGTTGTTGTTATGGCGAAACTACGTGACTGCAGCGCTAGGGGGTTTCCTGCAAATCAGGAACTACGGTATCGCATGTGGCTGGAAGAAACGTATAATTTCTCCTTTTTGAAGCTGAACTTGATGTCTCTTGTTTAACACACCGAAAATATATCAAACCTGCCTATACAATCATTTTTCTTCATTTCACTTTATCGGGAGTTACAAAAAAAACATGTTTTTAGTGGGGTAAAATATTTCAAGTCGGCGATTTAGCCTGACCCTAGGCTGACTAAAAAAATCGGCCTGCGGAGGTGTCATTTTAGTCGAGGTTCGCGTCATTTAGTCGCAGTGCTAGTCGAAGTTCGTTTTAAGAAACTGAATGTTGTAGTGAGTTAAAGGAAACAACATGTAGAGTGTCACTAACACACAGGTCATTTACATATATTAAGAATAACAGCGGTCCAAGCACAGATCCTTGTGGCACACCACATGTTATTTCATTTGGCGATGATTTACAAGCACTGATCTGTACAAATTGTTTACGATTCTCAAGATAACTTTTGAACCATTCATATGGAACACCCCTAATACCATAGTGAAATAATTTTGAAAGTAAGATGTCGTGGCTTACTACATCGAATGCCTTAGTTAAATCAATAAATGTACTTAATAAAAATTCTTTCTTTTCAAATGAATTATATATGGAGTTTACAAGTTCAAGAAGGGCATGACACGTTGAATGTTCTTTTCTGAATCCATGCTGATGATTATTTAGAAGATTATTTTTAATTAAGTAATTGTATAATCTGGTATGCATCAATTTCTCAAGAATCTTAGAAAATAATGGAAGGATCGATATAGGTCTATAATTTGATAACAAGTCAGCATCACCTTTTTTATGAAGGGACTACTTTTGCAAGTTTAAAATGGGTTGGAGCAATTCCTAAGGAAAAAGAGGCATTTACAGCGAAAGTTAATTGTTTTAGGATAATTGGTAAAATTTGTTTTAAAATAGAAGCATTTAAGTGGTCGTATCCAGAACATTTATTTGAATCAAGATCATTTATAACATTAAATACCTCAGATTCAGAGACAAGATTTACAAAAAAAGAAGAAAGTGGTTGGTTTGTTAGGTAGGAAAGAGGATTTACATTACAGGACGACATATTATTTATTGAAGAACCAATTTGAGCAAAATATGTATTGAAATGTTCACATATAGATTCTCTGTCACTTATGATTTCATTACCAATCCTTAAAATCTTTGGTTCTTTCCCGGGGTTAATCACAGAGTTTATAACATTCCATACACTTTCAAGGTTTCCCTTAATTTTTTTTATTTTATAAAAAATAATATTTTTTCTTAGCTTTTCTACACAGATTGGTAAAAATATTATTATATTTCTTATATGCCAATTTATGTTGGCTATTCTGAGTCTTCATGTATGCCTTGTACAGCTTATGTTTAGTTCGCTACATTTAGCAAGTAAAGGATACATGCAGGGTTGTTTACATTTCTTTCTTTTCTGTAAGTTATTTACACTCGGGTATTTATCATGAATTTTGAAAAAAACTATTTAGAAAGTAAGTCAAGTGATGAAATAGGATTACAATTATAAATGGCAGACCAATCTTCTTGGTATAGCTCACTGCTGAAAGAATTTATATCTTTAATACAATAATAAGGTGTATTAGTTTCCACAGTAGAATTATAGATATCATTTTCAACAATACAAAAAATAGGTAAATGGTCGGAAATGTCAGATATAAGTATACCCGACACAATATTGGAATCATATTGGTTTAGTAAAAAAATTATCGATTAGAGTAGCACTATGAGTAGTAATTCTGGTGGGTTTTGAAATAGTTGGAAAAAAAGAATAATAATAAGATTAATAATAATAATAAGATAATAAGATTTAAGAAACTATTAATATGATCATGACAGTCGAATTTTATCAAATCAGTGTTAAAATCCCCCATTAGGTTACATCTCTTATTTTCGGAATTTATTTTTATGAGTAAATGTTCCATATTATTTGAAAACAATTAAACATTAATATTTGGTGGTTTGTAAATTACACCTATAATGACATTTCTTTTATTACTGGTAACAATTTCAATAAAAAACGAATCACATACCTCTTTGGGTAACATTAAATCATTTCTTAGTGTATATTTTATATCATTTTTCATGAACAAACCGACACCACCCCCTTGTTTGTTAAACCTTGCACTAGAGTGGAATGTATAATCATCAAAATATGGATGTATCATTTTATCGTTGAGCCAGGTTTCTGATAAACCAATTAATGAGAAATTATAGTTAAGGGAATTTATCAAATATTGAAACTGACCTAATTTATTATTAATACTTCTTGTATTAATATGAAGAAGTGATAATGCTGTTTTCTTTGACTAGCTAACTAAATCATTAAATTTACGAATATCAACATAATATCGACATTGATCAAGAGTAGCATATCTGGAGTTTAAGTGATTAATTAGCATATCTACCTGTTGGTCATATTTGTCGTCATAGTAATCTTGGATAGGGTTTGTGTAAATATTATTAATGGTGGTATAAAACTCATTTATATTTTCATTTAACTCGTTTCCTAGATCAGTGTCATGAAATGGTAAATATATAAATAGGTTATTACTCATAATTTAAGATAGTTATATGTAAAAAGATTTGACGATGTCAATTTTTTGCATCAAAAGAAAAAAGGGAAAAACAATACACCAGTACAAAATTACTAAAATAATAAAACAAACACTAACACAAATACAAGGATTCTCATACAAATTTAATGATATAGACAGTATAAATACACTGAGACAGAGGTGATTTCCAACTACAAGTTAAATTCCTAATTAATGGGTAAGAGCAAATAATGAAACAATGGCTATATCGAATATTAGAAACATACAGACTGTATAATTCACATAAAGTATATCCCAGATGTATTTAACGATTATTATAAAGCTTTACCATTTATATAAAGTTCCCCATTTTTAAACACTGGGCGCTTTCCGTCTTGGTAGGCCTTGCTCATCACCTCTTTGAAACTTCTTCTTTTCTTTACATCCTGCCAGGTGAGATCTTCCGTAACATATACATTGGTGTCACTATTGCTTACTAGTTTTTTTAGATTTAACTAGGATCTCTTGTTTTTGAGAACGGTATAAAAACTTGACAATAATTTTCCTGTACGATGAACGTTTTCAATCATAACATCTGTAACGTTCAATTTCTGCTGTAGATGCGTTGTAATGATACTTTTCGGATCATCAATGTCACTTTCATCAAAACCTCCAAATCTCAGATTATAACTCTTAGAATGCCTTTAAAGCTTAAGTGTATCCCTTTGGATTTGTGACAGAGTCTGTCCAATTTCACTATTCATTTTAGAAGATAACTTCTGAAAATTTGTAGAAAGAATTCTTATATCCTTTTGGTTTTCAATGGCAGATTCTTGAGCAAAGTCAGTAGCAGTTTGCGAGTCCAACTTATCAGATTCAAGTGTGCTAATTCTTGATTGAACATCAGCTAATCTTGCTAGTATGGATGTTTGATTTCTCAATACCGAGTCAAGCTTGCGGCTCATTTTTTGAATTTCACGCCCCAAGTCAGTTGGTAGTGCAAGCGTGTTGGTCTCGCATTGGTCAGTTTCCTGCTTGACGAAATTATTGATTATGAACTTCACCAATATACTGCGCGCAAAATATACATTAAACAATGTAATGATATTTCCTTTTGGAATGCAAAAATATAGCGGGAAGGATGTAAAATCAGTATTTTAGAAGGAATTTTGTAGACAGAAATTGAAACACGTCTTATCTCATCATCCCCCTCTACATTATCTATATAATTTTAAACTTTAAAAAATGTTAAATTTTTTTTATGCCTGATTTTTGGAATTTTCCTTGTTGTGCCTGCTGCCCCCAACGGAGGTGTAGACACTATATCATGATGTAGCAACTCAAGATGGCGAAAAAGGGTAAATCAGGTTTAGGCATGATGGGTACTACTACCACGAGGTATGGGGTGCTCTATTGACAATCGAATAGCGTTCGGAACTCGAATAGCGTTCGGAGCTCGAACACGCGTTATAGGACGCAGCACGCATTTGTCACGAACGCATTTTACCGTCATTTGAAGGACGCCCTCTAGAACATGGTAGTGATCAACGACATAATGTGGTAACTCCAAGAGTTACTTATTTTTAAAGTGTTTTTAGTGCAATATACTGTAGTAGTAGGCCTATACAGTATATTATGAAAGAAAATTTTCATGAAAAATCCAGATAGCCTACAATAATACACACATCTGCAACTTATTAAGATAAAATTTAAAAAATCAAAAACTCCTGTATAAGGCAGTAGACACATGCTTCCACTGGGAGCCTATTTTTTTGTGTTGTGCTGTGATTTCTTAGATTCTAGTTCGTTTTATGCTTTTTAGTGTCTTTGTGTGTTTTATCATTGTTTTACAACTCAGGAAGGCAAATTTCATATGTATTTTGTATATATGACGAAGAAGTAAATCTTATCTTATCTTAATAATAATAATAATAATAACAATTCTTTACTTGTCCTCATTCTAATTAAAAATCAGAAATTTGGGCTTAATACCTGGGGACACGTAGCAGCCACAGTGCCATGCCACCCGACTTAATTACAACATGAACGGACACATACACATTTTAGGTAATAATAATAATAATAATAATACTTCTTTATTTGTCCTCATTATGTCGGTTGAGGATTTACAACCACTAAGCCAAACAGAGCAACCATAATTGATGGTACAGTAGGTAAATCTATTACTCTCCAAAGCAAGTCACCAAAATAGACTCTGTTAAAGTTGTCCTGATAGATAATTGCCTTTATATGTGAGGTCTCACCACGAAATGAGACGCATCGTTGGTGAAATCATATTGAGATATTCTCCAAAATAGGTCAAAGGCAACATTTTTACAAAATTTTGATTTTAATGTTTTTTAATAACTTTATCTTTGAGGCCGATTTTCTCAAAACCTGGTTCTCATACACCTAAACTTAAAATGCTAACATCTCTGGATCTATTTATCCTATGGAAGCCATTCAAAGACCAAATTAAAGCTTATAATGTGTCCGTGATCTACCAAAATGTTATATTAACTCATCTTTTGATTTTCTAACGAAGAGATTCATTTTGTAGTGAGACTTCACATATGCTATAATGCTATTACTTTTTCTTAAAACCTTTTCTATGTGTCGTGAGTCGGTGTTAGTGTTAGAGATATAAATTCCAAGATATTTATAGCAGTCAGTCTCTGTAATGAAATTGTTACCTAATTTCCATTTTCCATATTTATTAGATTAGAACATTAGATTTATTGTAATTAAAATTCAGTTTCCAGTTACTTGAAAAGTCACTTGCTGCTTTAAGAAGTGAGATTTAAGCCCCTCTCCCACTAGGGGTTTTTTCAGCATACGAGTTACAAGAGAATGCCGAGTTGCTAACTCGGCAAACTCGGCAAAAACTCGTAGGACGATTCGGAAAGCTCGGAGTGGACTCTTACCTACTCGTAGCAGCTCTGAAC